CATTATTCGATTTTGATGATACATTAAATGAGCAATCAATTGCAGAGTTTCCAAAAGCTGTTTAGAACGCGACTTAAGATAAGTAAAAATGTAACGATAGCGAGTGGCCTTTATTCTTTTTGTCCCCCGCGCAACGCGCATCAGGGGACAGAAATACCGGGCGTCCGTTCGTCCGGTCTTCTTAGCGCTCTCACGTGTACAATTCTTGCCAGATTTTTATGAAATTTATATCCAAGGTTTATATCAGTAATGTCTTGGACGAGTTCGAAAATCAGTGCCGATCAATTATTTTTTAAAGAGTTATGCCTCTTGGAAACATTAATTATATGGAAAATTGCATCGTAAGCGCTCTCATGTGTACAATTCGTGCCAGATTTTTATGAAATTTATATCGTGGGTTTATATTAGCATGTCTTGGACGAGTTCGAAAATCTGTGCCGATCAACTATTTTTAAAAGAGTTGTGCACCTTCTACACATTAATTATATGGAAAATTGCATCGTAAGCGCTCTCACGTGTACAATTCTTGCCAGATTTTTATGTTACTTATGTCATAGGTTTATATCAGCAATGTCTCTGACGAGTTTGAAAATCAGTGCCGATCAATTATTTTCAAAAGAGTTATGCCCCTTGGAAATATTAATTATTTGGAAAATTGCCTTGTGAGCGCTCTCGTGCGTACAATTCTTGCCAGATTTTTGTGAAATTTATATCATAGGTTTATATCATCAATGTCTTGGACAAATCGAAAATCAGTGCCGATCACTTATTTTCAAAAGAGTTATGCCCCTTGGAAATATTAATTATAACGGAAATCGCATTACATTTCCTCTGAAGCCTTCATTTCTCTAAGATATTTATAAAAAGTTTTAAAGAACAAAACGAAAGTGTTTTTTTTTTAGTTATTGCCCTTGTACCTTGGATAGATAAAATATGTGCAACGCGGGGGTCATTGGAACTCTGTTCTTTTATTCTGGTAATTTGCTGTTTCAAAAATGTTCAATTCATCAAGTAGCGCGTTGCGTAAATCCATTAGTGTCAAGTTTGTTGATCTTTGTTCTCGTGCTAAATGTTGTCGTATATCGTATCTCTGCGGTCATCTGTTAAAATTCTATGTAGAAATAAGGAGATGCAGTATGATTGCCAATGAGACAACTATCCACGTTCACATGACGTGATAGAAAGCAATTATACCTATTCAAAGCCAGAGGTTGCTGCTGTGTTGCCTGTTATATTTCTTTTCATTTGATATTAACTCAAATTTGGTTGGTGAACTTTGAATGTGCTTACCATTGATATCAAGCTTGACTAATCTTTAACTTTTTTTTTTGGTTTAAATTATTCACCACTTTTATGGACTCGACACAATTTAGAGATTAACTTATTGTACAGACCCTTGTCTATTATTGAAGACATTAGTGTTGATCTCTGGATGTCTTTTGGTAGTTTGTGTTATTGCTTATAGGCATGATTTAAATGATTTTACAGGAGTTAATTTTCAGTTAATAAATTATGCAATTGTACCTATAAAAACTAAGGGATGAACAGTTCTGTATGTTTTGTTCAGGGAATGAATTTTACGCCAAATCAATTCGTTGTCACTGAACATAAAAATGTGATAACGAAAGAGGGGCATGATATCCTATTGACACTTACTATTAACCTTCTTTATTTTTCATCCAGATTTGGTCTCAAAAAATCAATATTTTTGGATTGCCAAACTTGTGGTCTCAAATGTACCTGATGAAGGTTATTTCAGAAACAGGGTTTATGCAAACATGAATCAGTATCATACATTGTTAAGCCCTGCCTACGATGGCAAGGAGCATTATGTATTCTGATTTGTGTGTCCAGTCATATGTCCCATATCTGGTTAGTTTTGGTTTAAGGTAGTTTTCAGTGAAGTTGTTGTCTCAACAACTTGAACCTAATTACACAAGTTTATAGTGCGAGAGGGAAGCATGGTGTCCTATTCACAAATATTCTTAAATTTCTTTCTTTTTTCCAGATGAATGAATCCCAGAAAGAACAATTATTGAAGATCTATCAAGAGACAGGAACCAAGCGAGCTGTAGATACCAGATTCCTCAGTTTCCTTAGTTATACCTACTACCATCTGCCAATGTATGCTAATCCAGGAATGATTATGGGGAGATAACACTGTATTCTTGAAAATTCTTGAAAATTCATACTGTTTTCTGTCAGTGATAGAACTTTTAAAATTTCACTGAAGAAATTGTAAATCTCATACAATAAATGTGCTTTGAAAATGATTGTACATAATGATATGCTATTGTAAACCGTGATATAGAATTAAGTCCGTCCTAAACTGTGATAATTTCATGTTTGTTTTTGAGATAAATTGTATTGTTTTAATACTGGCTTACACACAGAAATTTTGTCTAATAGATTAATTATCTATATCAAGTGTATTGGGCCAAGTTTTATAACATTGAAAAAAAAACAATAATGTTGATTTAAATTTTTTTTTATCCAAAACCTTAGAAAGAGGGAACATCCCTGTCTGTTTTACAAGATCATGGTTAAAACTTTGTGAGAGTCTGAAAATTTGCAAGTAGTGTAATATAAACTGTAAGTTATTGATGGATATCACATTTATTTCTTTGTAATTTATTTTTGTTTGTGTATAATATTGAAGGATAATATCAATTCTATTTCAATCTTGATGTTAGTTATTTGTATGTACTATTATTTGAAAATTTCCTGAGTCATATAAAATATATATGAGGAAAAAATTTGATTATAATAAACAAACACACACAATGCAGTATTTGTTATGCAGCAATGTCACAGCAAAGCAGACTATAAGATTATCTTTGACATTCAAAGTCGTTTAACCGCAGAAGTTAATTTTCAAGATTTGCTTCTGTATTTAAAAAAAAAAACTTGTTCTTAACTTTATATTCTAGTGAGATAATACTTTAAGTATATAAGATTACTTGATAATATATTCTGCATACAGCATATTTTTAACATATTTACCATACACGTTTCTATTCAATCAGAGTGGTTTGTCTTTCACTTATTCCCTTATGTTAAGTTGTCTAACTTTCCCTTCCTCAATTTGGTCAAGATAGTTATACATGTAGTCATTTGCGAAATGTAACACCTGTTGTAAGGTCAGTAAAGCCAAAATATTCACATTTGCTTTAAGCTCTGTCTCCGATTCATAACTCTTGATCGGTAAAATGTGTGATCTTGGAAGCCCCATTATCTGGGATACTCTGGATGTCTTTAGGTAGTTTGTGTTATTGCTTATGGGCATGATTTAAATGATTTTACAGGAGTTAATTTTCAGTTAAAAAATTATGCAATTGTACCTATAAAAACAAGGGATGACCAGTTCTATATGTTTTGTTCAGGAAATGAATTTTACGCCAAATCAATTCGTTGTCACTGAACATAAAAATGTGATAACGAAAGAGGGGCATGATATCCTATTGACACTTATTATTAACCTTCTTTATTTTTCATCCAGATTTGGTCTCAAAAAATCAATATTTTTGGATTGCCAAACTTGTGGTCTCAAATGTACCTAATGAAGGTTATTTCAGAAACAGGGTTTATGCAAACATGAATCAGTATCATACATTGTTAAGCCCTGCCTACGATAGTAAGGAGCATTATGTATTCTGATTTGTGTGTCCAGTCATCTGTCCCATATCTGGTTAGTTTTGGTTTAAGGAAGTTTTCAGTGAAGTTGTTGTCTCAACAACTTGAACCTAATTACACAAGTTTATAAAGATGTGGACATTTGCTTTTAATATATGATTAATCAGGGTTTTGACCAATATTTCATGGTCATTGAACATGAAGTGTGATAGTGCGAGAGGGAAGCATGGTGTTCTATTCACAAATATTCTTAAATTTCTTTCTTTTTTCCAGATGAATGAATCCCAGAAAGAACAATTATTGAAGATCTATCAAGAGACAGGAACCAAGCGAGCTGTAAATACCAGATTCCTCAGTTTCCTTAGTTATACCTATTACCATCTGCCAATGTATGCTAAACCAGGAATGATTTAGGGGAGATAACACTGTATTCTTGAAAATTCTTGAAAATTCATACTGTTTTCTGTCAGTGATAGAACTTTTAAAATTTCACTGAAGAAATTGTAAATCTCATACAATAAATGTGCTTTGAAAATGATTGTACATAATGATATGCTATTGTAAACCGTGATATAGAATTAAGTCCGTCCTAAACTGTGATAATTTCATGTTTGTTTTTGAGATAAATTGTATTGTATTAATACTGGCTTACACACAGATGTGTCCAGTCATCTGTCCCATATCTGGTTAGTTTTGGTTTAAGGAAGTTTTCAGTGAAGTTGTTGTCTCAACAACTTGAACCTAATTACACAAGTTTATAAAGATGTGGACATTTGCTTTTAATATATGATTAATCAGGGTTTTGACCAATATTTCATGGTCATTGAACATGAAGTGTGATAGTGCGAGAGGGAAGCATGGTGTTCTATTCACAAATATTCTTAAATTTCTTTCTTTTTTCCAGATGAATGAATCCCAGAAAGAACAATTATTGAAGATCTATCAAGAGACAGGAACCAAGCGAGCTGTAAATACCAGATTCCTCAGTTTCCTTAGTTATACCTATTACCATCTGCCAATGTATGCTAAACCAGGAATGATTTAGGGGAGATAACACTGTATTCTTGAAAATTCTTGAAAATTCATACTGTTTTCTGTCAGTGATAGAACTTTTAAAATTTCACTGAAGAAATTGTAAATCTCATACAATAAATGTGCTTTGAAAATGATTGTACATAATGATATGCTATTGTAAACCGTGATATAGAATTAAGTCCGTCCTAAACTGTGATAATTTCATGTTTGTTTTTGAGATAAATTGTATTGTATTAATACTGGCTTACACACAGAAATTTTGTTTAATAGATTAATTGTCTATATCAAGTGTATTGGTCCAAGTTTTATATCATTGAAAAAAAACAATAATGTTGATTTAAATTTTTTTTTATCCAAAACCTTAGAAAGAGGGAACATCCCTGTCTGTTTTACAAGATCATGGTTAAAACTTTGTGAGAGTCTGAAAATTTGCAAGTAGTGTAATATAAACTGTAAATTATTGATGGATATCACATTTATTTCTTTGTAATTTATTTTTGTTTGTGTATAATATTGAAGGATAATATAAATTCTTTTTCAATCTTGATGTTAGTTATTTGCTTGTACTATTATTTGAAAATTTCCTGAGTCATTTAAAATATATAAGAGGAAAAAATTTGATTAAAATAAACAAAGACACACAATACAGTATTTGTTAAGGTTATCTTTGACATTCAAAGTCGTTTAACCGCAGAAGTCAATTTTCAAGATTTGCTTTTGTATTTAAAAAAAAACTTGTTCTTAACTTTATATTCTAATGAGATAATACTTCAAGTATATAAGATTACTTGATAATATATTCTGCATACAGCAAATTTTTAATATATTTGGCATACAAGTTTCTATTCAATCAGAGTGGTTTGTCTTTCACTTATTCCCTTATGTTAAGTTGTCTAACTTTCCCTTCCTCAATTTGGTCAAGATAGTTATACATGTAGTCATTTGCGAAATGTAACACCTGTTGTAAGGTCAGTAAAGCCAAAATATTCACATTTGCATTAAGCTCTGTCTCCGATTCATAATTCTTGATCGGTAAAATGTGTGATCTTGGAAGCCCCATTATCTGGGATACTCTATCTACAGACTCCTGGATGACTGGACTGTAAAAAACTCGAGATATATCTGTGGCTGTAGCCTCGCACACTTTGTCAATCTTGGTAAGCAAAACTACTTGGGGGATTCCTGCGAAATTGAATATTACATTAGTTACATTACTTAAAGGGGGATAGACTGTCAAATTCATGTTCATCGATTTGACTCAAACTCTCATATTTGATTTATAACATACTAAAACGTATATCCAAATTACAATAAGACTGAAATAAACAATTAACAATGGATGGACTCGAAAATATATATCAGCTTTTCGTGTGTATTTTAGTTTAGACGCCATCTAATCAACCATCGAAATGACCTCCGAAGACTGCCGACGGTCATATAACCCGATATGAACATAAACATAAATATAAATAGATAGCAACCTCGTGCAATTGGACTTTTCTAGGTCTGTTTGATTTCATGTTATAGGTTAAAAAAATCAGATAATCGTCGTTTTTGCCTATATAAGAATGATTTTTTGTGGATCGAATCAGTCAACGAAATGATTCACCTTTGTTTCACTTTAAATGTTGACATTCTTTTCCTTTTAATGGCTGAACACGACTAATGCATGCGTAACCAATCTGTAGCTAATGGGTTAAATTGAAGGTCACATGAATACGGATTAAATGAGGTCGAATTATTCACTTGCAAGTGAATAATTCATCAGCGATGTTTCTCAGCTTATTTTGACAAAATTGAACTAAACTGGCTGCTAAAAGCGAATTATTATTTCACTATTTCACTTTCATTAATGATTGAACAAAAACAAATCATATTTTATTATTTTTTTTATCTCGATGCTAATGCCCCTTTAAAGGACATAAACATAAATACATACCAGAAATATGTGTTGTGTGCATTGTAATTGGTATAAAACTTATTTGCAACACCCCAGGTAAAGTTGGTCCGAGTTTTAGGCTACTTTGCTCATTCCTTTTTGATTTTTGTGCAACTAAAGATTGAATTTATTTAGATGTCAATGTATTGGCCTCAGGCATACTTGCACATTCCCACATCTCCAACTTTTGGTCTTGTTAAGACACTGGTTAAGAAGGCGGAAGAGTAAAATAAATTTTTTGAATTATTAAATTATAGAATTTTAACAGTTAAGTTGAACTAATGTAGTCTTAATATTTCAATGTTAGTAGTCAACACTCAACACATGCTTCTTTATTTCAAAAAACTTGTTCCCTTCTTTATAATCTCTACGGATATGACTTGAAGTATACAAGATGATATATCTTTCCAGTTACTTAGTCAATGTATACTTTTATCTGCATGTAATTCAATCCTAAATGTTTTCATTTTAGACTTTTTTTATTGTTTAACCCTTAGTTCTATAGGTGTTTTGCTATTGTGCTAACATGTCAAAGAAATAGAATTTTAAACCTCTTTGATTCATACGAAGCTGTAGGTTCTTCATCCTCTCAATAACCTTCTCTGGCATAACATCAACAATGCTTCCATCAAGTACAAATATGACACAGTGGATTTTGTCACTTAAATTAGGACTCACAACAAATCCTGCTGTATCTCCTGATATTGGTACAGAGGGATTGAACTATTAAAAAATGAAAGTTGACAACCATGTGAAAGACCTATTGTAAAATTATTTGAATGAAGAGAATTCTCAATATCAATATTTTTGAAAAATTATTAAATTGTCTCTTAAATTGGTTTTAAAAATTGTCTTGCAGCTGAGGAACTCCACCAAATTATGTTTGTAAAAAAACAAAAGTGGAAAATATGACAATAAAGTTTAATTTATGTTCTCTGTTATTTTCCATTGTGTTGACTCTTTTTTGGGTATATTAATTCTCATATTAAAAAGATTCTTATTTTATAGTACTTTTTTCAAGGGGGAAATGACAAAAGTCTATCAACCCAATTAAACAATGTACCTAGCATTGTATCTTCAATGCTATATGACATAAAACAAATACGCTACCTTAAAATATTTCACATTATTATAATACCTGGTGTCTGTCTGGTAAATTACCATCAAGAAGGTAATTCATTTCATGTGAATCAATTCCTTGGTCAGCTTCAAGTCCTCTGGTGTCATGAAGTCTAAAGTTCATTGGTGTCCCTGATTGCCCATTTCTTATTTGGTACATTCGGTACTAAACAGACATTATTAAAATTAGAAAAGAAGGTTCACAAAACATACAAAAGGTCCTTATTGACCAAAAAATTTGACAAAATTTCAATGAAGCAGATATCATCTTTTGTCGAGAGCATGTAAATGAATACAATATAAATACAAAATGAATCTTTAAGGCACATTTCATCAGGGATTACATTGTGACACTATGTTTTTAAACTCTGATTGATTAAAACCTAAATTGCGAATTGTGTTGCCTTAATCCACATTAACCACATGCACGTACTACTAGTATTTCATTTTTATGAGTATGAAAGCCAAATAAAATACATAGAGCATTCAAACTATATTGTGAATCTATCCAGATAACTGGTGAAACATTGCATCCTTTCCCGTGACCTAGTAGTGTGGTGTGTGCGTTTCTATTTTAAAACTGTAGATTGCATGATTCTGACATTTTAATATTGATATATTTCGTACTTTGTAAAAAGTCACTCTGATTCAAACAAAAAATTCTCTGAAACTGACATTATCAAGATGCTTGATTTCTTGATTTCTTTATTGACAACATATTTGTAACGTTTGAAGGACGTGTTTTTTCAACAAACAATCGGCATTCCAAAGGGGACAGACTTGTTTCTATATTCACATGAGGCTGACTTGATACAGGAACTTAGGACAAAAATAAAGAAGTTAGCAGTATCTTTTAACCTCACTTTCCGCTATATAGATGATGTTCTCTCACTAAATAATTTAAAATTTGGTGTCTATGTTGAACGCATCTATCCAATCGAACTTGAGATAAAGGATACAACACATACAGTTAAGTCGGCCTAGTATCTTGACTTACATCTAGAAACTGACAAGGATGAAAACAAAACTTTACGGCAAAAGAGATGATTTCAAAATTGTAAACTTCCCATTTCCGTGTAGCAACATTCCAGCAGCACCTGCATAAGGAGTACATATCTCCCAGTTGATACGATATTCCAGGGCTTGTATTTTCTATCATGATTTCCTTGATAGAGGGTTGCTGCTCACAAGGAAGCTATTAAACCAAGAGTTCTAACTGGTGAAGTTGAAATCGTCCCTTCGTAAATTTTACGGACACCACCACGAGTTGGTTGACCGTTATGGAAGATCCGTTTCACAGATGACAACGGATATATTTCAACTGTCGTAATTACAATCCCGTCCCCTTTTGACCGAATGTGACCTACCGAATAAGACTTTTCACCGGGTTTGTACTAACATGAGCAACACGACGGGTGCCACATATAGAGCAGGATCTGATTACCCTTCCGGAGCACCCGAGTGTTGCTCAGTCTTTGGTTTTCTATGTTGTGTTTTGTGTACGTTTGTATTTTTCGTTTTAGCCATGGCCTTGTCAGTTTATTTTCGACATGTGATTTTGAATGTTCCTTTAGTATCATTCGCCGTTCTTTTAAATGACAATGAAGACAACGTTTTCAATGAGATTGTTTGTTAACTTGTAATGTTTAAATCGTATGCATACTATCGACAACCGGAAATCATTGACAAAAACCTACCATCGTTGTTAAACTATGTTCTGCGTTGCCACTGCAAGCCTGACTGGTTATGTAGCCTCTAAAGATGGAGTTTATGGTGTTAAAGAAGCTAGATTTGCCTGCTCCTACTTGTCCAACCAGCAGAATACGTGCCTGAGGAACCTTTAAGTCTTTCAAAGGCTTGTATTTTTCTACTTTTTCTTTCAATTCGTTTAGGAGCTGAAATAATGATAACACCGAATCAATCACATTACATGTTATACGGTCGATATAATGAATTGATTGATACTAATATCCGATATCGCTAGTGTCATTTAAACAGGGATATACCCCACATTTCCACCATGTTGTTTTGACGTAGATACCGGTTTTGTGAGTGCTTGCATCACAGATATCCCAGTGAACTTGAGATTAAAGATAGAACCAAAAACTAGAAGGTCTGCCTCATAATCTGATCTTTCTCTCGATATTGACGCAGATTGACGACTTCAAACATGAATCCATGACAAACTTGATGATTTGAATTTTCCAATCACGGACTTCCCATTTCTGAGCAGTATCATTCCCTCATCCCCTCTTCCCCATTGTATGGCCCTAACGTTTCTCGATTGATACGTTACGCTCGTGCATTTATATACTATACGAACTGCATTAGCAGGAATGTCCTCGCACAAAAAAACTGGTCTAACAAAGTTATGAGGAAGAAAGACTTAAAACGACACTTCGTAATTTGTACGGTCACTATCAATATCGCAATACCGATACGATATGTATGTGTTTGAACTCACAAGCGACATTTTTCGCAATACTGTTTTTCAGAACTTACTGTGACTTGACTATAGGTGTTCCTGTTTACCTTTACCTATTGTTCAACCAGATTGTAAAATTGACAATACAATTGGGACATTTAAATTTACCAGTTAGTATTGTTAGAGTTGAATCTACCTTTATGCTACCTGTACTGTTTTTTATTCACCTAACCCAACCTTACAGCATGCTTTTTCCTGAAGTTTTTCTTCACCTTGTGTTATTCTATTATAAAGTTGATAGGAAAGAAAATATTGTTGGTTTTCATTGTTTTAAATCACCAATATAGATAATTAATCTAATTTTGACCTAAAATCTGAATCAATAATAGATTTCTTAACTATATGTTAACATGTATAAACATTAAACTGTTTTTACATGATACATGAATCTTTAAATTTTTAACCCTTAAACATAGTATTGTCCTGTTTGTTGTCAGTGAAACAAGAAATAGCTATTCAGGTGTTTTCTGTTTCAGTTTTCAGATGGATATATTGTGCATTTCTTCATATATCCCTCCAAACATTTCGTTTTTGAGTATAATTCACAGTGTTTGAAATCTATTGGAATCAATGTGCATAAAATATTGGGATTTAATTTATTTAAACTCACTTCTTAGATGCCATTTAATTCTGCTTCTTAAAAATGTGACTTTTTTTTTACAAGAATGGAGTGTCATGAATGTATCAAGAAGGAAATAATTCATTCAAAATGTTTCACATGATGATGTACATGTAAAATTCGAAATAATTTTGGAGTATACCTTGTTTTTCTTTGAAATCTATTAGGATTTTTGTGCATCAAATTACTGCGTTCACTCAAAGGAATTCACTTTTTTTAAGATGGGATTTAGTTAATCTAAAAGGTAAAAAAAATCAAAACTGGAATGCAAGTAGGAGAAATAAGTTCATCCAACATGTTTCTATGGCTTTAAATGTGATTTTGAAAATAATCATTATAAAATTCTGGATCTTATATGAAGATGATTTACCTGTTTAAATGGGATACATATCATGGAAATGAAATAAAATGTGAGTACAGTAGATATAGTCAAATCTAGTGATAAAGTGAAAAATAAAAGTATAAAAAAAATATTCCAAAAAATTCATAAAGTGAGGATAACCATTTTGAATGTGATATTGGAAATAATCATTATAAAATTCTGGCTCTAATATGTTTTAATTGGGACATATATCATGGGAAATGAAATAAAAACTGAATACTGTGGATATAGCAAAATTAAGTGATATAGTGAAAAATAAAACTAAAATATTCCAAAATATTTGTAAAGTTAGAATATGTATTTTGAATGTGATATTTGAAATAATATAAAATTACAAAATTCTGGATCTAATATAAAGACTCTGCACCTGTTTAATTGTGATACATATCAAAGGAAATTAAACAGAATACTTTGGATACTGAAAAAACTCTATTGATATAGTGAAACATGAAAGAAAAGATTCCGAAAAGTTAATAAAGTTAGTAAAATATTTTAAAATGATTTCTAATACTAAGTACTGAAGGTGGAATACTGGATGGCAAATTTTAGAACATGAAATAATTTTTCATCTTGTAGCTATACACTTGCTTTATTTACACCATATATACTACTTTAAACTGTTTGCATGTTATGTTATTTAACAAAGATAAAAACTGAAGCCTTAATACTCCATGGAGAACTTTTGAAAGACCTATCTCAGTTACAGTGACAATTGAACAGGTAAAGTGATGGGACAGCATCAAGGAAGACTCTAAATGCATGAGTGATCATCTGTTCATCAACTCTAACAATACCAACAGGTCAATTTAAATGTCCAAATTGTATTGTTAATTTTATAATCTGGTTGAACAATAGGTAAAGGTAACAGCAACACCTATAGGCAAGTTACAGTAAGATACCAGAATAGTGTCCTATTCCAAATTTTGACAAAGTTTGTGATTAGGTCAGTTTAATGGAAACTAAGAATAAGGCAATGATAATTGGTATCCAAAAGTGTTAGTATTTCCGCATCTCATTTGTATTGAGACTATGTGGCCCATCTCCCTCTGTGATGTATAATTGACTTCGAAAAGATCTGCTTAATTAACATATTAAGAGTTATTTAATTCAATGTTTGCAAATTATACTATCGAAATAATAAACACTGAACATATCTCTTGATTAAATAGTTTTTTCCTTCTTTTTCAAACCTAGACACCTGTCTATTGTTGTAGACGGTAAAATGCCATATAGCTATCGTTGTGCTGCTATCTCGTGGACGTATACATCACACCATAATATTCATGTTGTCTAACCTATACTGCACATGAGCATGCTACCCTTTTATCTAATTACTGTTCAATCAAAAACTAAAAGTTGAAAAACGTGTTCTTCTCACTTTTCGGGATAAACTTTTATCATATCATAAGAAGATAATACACCAGAAATAAATTAATCAGATTGAATGTTTGGCAGGTACCAAAAACCCCAAAAGAGAAAAAATCGCAATAAAATATAGCACAGATGTAATATTTCTTTTGCCTAGAAAAGAGGCGAAAGATACCAAAGGAACATTCAAACTCATAAGTAGAAAATAAACTGACAACGCCATGGATAAAAAAGAAAAGACCAACAACAATAGTACTCAAAACACAACATAGAAAACTAAAGACTAAGCAACACGAACCCCACCAAAACTGGGGATGATCTCAGATGCCCCAGAAGTGTGAGCAGATCCTGCTCCACATGTGGCACCCGTCGTGTTGCTAATGTTAGTACAAACCCGGTATTAAAGAAGTTAACGATTACTTTGATTTGTAGTTGAAAATATTGTTGTTTAAATCTTAAGGAAACAAACAAGTCAAAACAACTACTTTCGCTTACCTTTAGGTTCCATTTGGCAGTTTTTCGCCATGATCCGTCCAGTGGTGTGTCGCCAGCTAAATCTTATGCAATAATAATTAAAATGATAATAATTAGAATGAAAATAATAGTACAGAATACCCCAATTTGTTTATAGTAACATGGCCAACTTGAAGGGTAAAACAATGAAATTTAAAAAAAATATTTTTCAGAACACACAGTTATCAATTAGAAAAAAAAAGCATAAAACCATGATCAAAGTTTTGTCCTAGAAACATATGGAGTTTTCAAGATGACCTCAACAGAAACTAATTGACCGGTTAAACTGAAGTCTATTTTAACCTTTCCCGTGGCACTGTTTGCAAAATTTGTAGATAGATGGAAACACTATATCGTCAATATTTCTGTTTTATATATTTTCTTTTTTTTATGTCAAATCTTTTATCTTATTTTGTCTTATTAATTTATCATTAAATGTTTTACCTTCTACCAAATAAACTCTAATGTCTTTTACTCGAAGATGGCCATTAGCGATAGATTTGTAGTTTTCTCCGTTCATAGTGTACGATACTCCAAAGCTAGCAGATCCATTTAAAGGGAAGCTTGTTCCATCGAAGTTTACTGTGTTCGAAAATGTATGCAAGTCATACCCACCAAAGGTAGGTCCATAAGAAGGGTGATCGTAGATCGCATTTTGGGCATTCACGATAGGCATCCGTACTGGTTTCCACTTGCCATTTTGATAAAACCTGAAGAGGAATGCTGAACCGTCATTCTGATAGTTTCCAATACTTTTCCAGCTAGCCGACGTATATCCACCGTACATGAAGTTGTCAGTATTGTAAAGGACTGTCACTGTTGGTCCTTTGTTATTACAGTTATTACGGAAAGCTGTATGAGTACATCCGTCTCTGGATGCCTTATACAAAAGTGTGTATTTCTTCCTCCCTCCAATCCATTTTGTGAGTTGATTTTGTTCTCTGTTGCGGAACTGAATAGACATATTGATGGCTGTAAATATAATTAAAGGGGAAGTGTTTTTTAATGTTTTTGACAAATCCTTGAACCACAAAATTGTGTGACACTTTTACAATGTGCTTCGTCGTTAACGTAATTAAAAGTTGGGACTTATACACGAATTAATTACATAAATACATATTTGGTCCCATATCAAAAGTTATATTTAGCCTTCTAACAAATTGTCATAAAAGAAGCTTTCTTGATAAGTATGTGTTTCATTTTAGAAAAAAAATCTTAAAGAAAGATTGGAACATGAACTTACCTAATCGTTTTGGAAATGAATAGTTTTAATACATTCAAAATGTAGTAAAATGCTTTACGGCCAAGAGGTCTTCCAAAATGAAACCAATAGACATATGCTGTTACCTGGAAAATAAAATATAGATATTCGTCGCCATTACTAACAATAAATTATATCTGCACTGTATGATAGGAAAGCTATTAAAAAGAAAATTACAGAAAACAAACTGACAAAAGATACCAGGCTAAGCCTTATAACTTGTCAAGGCAGAGCTCGTTTCGTCAGCACAAAAATCATCAGTGTCGCTCACATTAAAATAAAAGAGCATTGAAAATAAAATATTCCAAAAAGGTATGGTCATCTCTGCCTGGGAGTAAAAAATCCTTAGTATCATAACTTAACAAATTAGACAAATGTTTTACAAACATTACCTGATCAAGTGAATACTACACAGCTGTTGATACTATCGGGGACGAAACGTCAACACGCAGTTGCATCGACCAAGTAGTTGTAAAACTCGTGAAATATACCTGGCTTATATTTGTCACGCTAGACAGGCGTATTGTTTGCAAGACTCACAAGTGGCGTTCGAATAATCAAAATTGCTGAAAAGCCAAATTAAGTAGAATATAAACTCTTCATTGATGCTTTCAGGTAGAAAGTTGAAGAGGACTGAAAACAAAGAAAATGTTCGGCATTACTTCATAAAAAAAGAGACATCTTAAACTTACAACAAAGAATATGAAATTAAAAATTGTTTAAAAAAAACAAAGTTGATGATGTTAAGGTAACAGGTACGTAAAGGAGCAATCTCACGAACTTTTATGAGATTTTTGCAAGCAATAAGAGGAAGTGCAACTGCATCTGAATATCGAAAAAAAGTAACTTTTATACTTTCGGATATATAGCAAATTGAATATTCTGCCAAAATAAAAGTGCCAATGTATAGGAGAGGCGAAGGATACCAAAAGGACATTCAAACTCATAAGTCGAAAAAAAAACTGACAACGTCATGGCTAAAAAAGAAAAAAAGACAAACAGACAAACAACAGTACACAAAACACAACATAGAAAACCATAGACTGAGCATCATGAACCCCACCAAAAACTGGGGGTGTATAGAATGCACGAAAATATCGACAAAAATATGGAAAAATTTGACTTTAAATTGCCTTCAATCAAAACATGTCCTACACATTTTCTTTAAAAGTGATATGCTATTGCCACTAAAATTTCCGTTTCATCGATATGAAAATAATATGGGGTCATCGAATGCGTTTTTGCTGTACTAATCACTTAAATGTCTCGGCAATATTTAGAAACGTCAAAAATTCGGATTCCTAGCCACGACATCACGATAATGTTTGCCTGTTTCATACTTTTCCACGCTGTACAAAAGATTCAACTCTTTATACTCAAACACAGAATTCGGTGACCCCTATGAATTTAATATCAATAAAATGAAAATTTAAGTGGCAATAACATATCATTATTTAGAGGAAATTCATAGGCCAGGATTTCGAGAAATGCTAATTTTTATTTAAAATTGCTTTACTTTTTTTTTACGATATTTACATGTATTCTTTGCATTTGTACTTTTATTTTCTGGATATTTTATTTGCTACATATCCGAAAGTATAAAAGTTAAATATATCATTCTTTCGATGTACATGTGCAGTTCCTCATGCTCTAGTTGTGTTCAAAATTTCATAAAATTCCGTGAGATCATCCATTTACGTACTTGTTACCGTAAACACAAATTAAAAACTTCTATAAGTTCCACCACGTTTAAAAAGTAATATAACAAAAATACCGAACTCCTAGGAAAATTCAAAACGGAAAATGTCTCTTTGACATATTCCCCATTTCCATTCTCAATTTTATTATATACACGCAGTAAATCTTGAAGTAAATGGTTCTTATTGTTAGACAGGTTCTTATATTTTTATTTATAAACACGACTTGTGTCAGTACACATCAAGTACAAATCATTGTTAAAGTAAGGTTATAAATGCGCATGTCTATACGAGAGGCTGTAAGTGTGTATATAAACAGAAAAGGTGAAATGTTATCAATAGTAATTCTGAAATGGGGACATGTTTATCTAAGTGCACACAAACTCAAAAAATAAAATAATCCGTTGACAAACAACTTACCGTTAGTGTCGATCCTATTGATTTAGTAATCGCGTAATGTATGTCATGTATCAATTTGTATTTTCCAATTATTAGACCTCAATGCTATTTTCAGAAAATCAAAAAGGAAAGTAGAATGAAATTGATATTACTTTCCATGAGTCAATCAACAAGACTGTCATCCTTTGAATTTTCTAAAAATTATATATATATATATGTCTATCAACAAGAAGGCGAAGTAGCGAAATATCCAAAATTTCGAGACCAATAGATTCACAAAGTTTAAGTATACACGACTAAAGATCAAAATAATTAATTTTATTATGTATTAGTCTATTTATTAGATGTGTATTGTGTTTGTGCTTTTATGACTTTGATAAATAGAATACAATAAGATTTGTTCTAGCCACCCTTTCGGATAGTATAAACATATGTTAAATCCGTGAGAATGATATCAACATTAATTCAAATCCTAAAAAATGTTCAGGGGTGGGTCAGGATTTGAAGGAAAAGGGGGATTTAATGTCCATTATCATGATTATGGTAATAATCGCCCAAAAATATGCCCGAAAAAGATATTTGTCAATCAAATAAATATGATCATGACGGTGTACAGCCTCTACACCCTGAACCTGAATTTGTTATTGAACGTAAAGGACTGAAATGTCTTTAAATGATCAGAGTTCTATTGCTTTGTCGTTTTGGAGATAGCAAAAATAATTGCGAAGCAATTTGAGTATTCAAAGGGTATTACTTTTTAAACAAACTCATTGTTTGATTGAAACAATTTAAGTACTTCTGGGAAGTCCAAAGAACAAGGTTAAATTTGTCTGATCTGTGTACAATTTTTGATCGACCTTTTTTCATATTTAAGACAAGACAATTCATACGAATATTGAAATGGAAGAATATATACATTATAAAATAAGTTTTTTATTTCTTTATCGAAAGTGTTCATTTTGATCAATTAAAGATGATATATCGGTTTTTTCGAGGAGCTTTTATTTTGGACTCTGCAAGAAACGGGATGTGTCATTTTGTAAGAATTCTGATAGGAATTATTAAATATACCGAACATAACATCATCATACTAATGGACTTTTTGATTGAACACACAATTGTCGAATTTGGTGGATTGAAATTTCCCTAAACAGCCGGTATTGCACTGGGTACTAAATTACTAAATTACTAATTGTGGAACCTACTGGCTGACTTGATTTTGTACTCATCATGAAAGCAGAATTAATACAGAATGTCCTCTAAGACAAAAACAAAAAAGATTTTTCCAAACTCTGAATTTTAGTGTCCGATCTATTGATGATGGCATGTTACTCAAAACTCGCATTCCAGCAATAACATACTCATCTGCCTTTATGACTTCATTAACAGGGATGTGGTTCTAACACAAACACTGGCACAACAGAGTTATGAGAAAGAACGACTAAAATCGACACTACATAAGTTTTACTGTCACTATCGAGATTTTTTTTACTGATGCGATTTATCTAAACTAAATGACGACATTTACATTGATACCAGAAAGATCGCCTGATTGTGTCCTATTCAACGGGTATTATTTTTTTTTTACTTTTACTGAGTGTGGATTCACATATTTGACTTATATACAGCACACTTAGGAGACGCTTACTCTTTGGAAGCCTTGGCCTCAGCTTTGTTTCATATTGGTTTGTATGTTTTAAATGGATTTATGAGATTTAAACATCCGTAAACCACTATAATTTTTACGTTCCACGTGTTTTTATATATAATCTAAAAGCATACACATTATAGTTTAATGTTGAAAAAGTAAAATAACAAAAAAAAAACGAACTCAAAGTAAAATTCAAAACGGAAAGTCCCTTATCAAATGGCAAAATCAAAAGCTCAAACACATCAAACGAATGGAAAACAACTGTCATATTTCTCACTTGGTACAGGGTGCTATAAACAGTCTCGTATAAAAGACTAAAAATAGCCATGGAGGGAAATCCCTTTCATAATTGGGGAAAAGTATCATGTTTTTTGGCATTTGATAGTAAAAATGAGTAAGTTAGCTTTCAATTAAAACAGGTTGAAGATCAAAATAATTTTTAAAAAAATAATTAAATATACTTGTTTTCAGAGGAGACAACACTGTAAACTTCCTGTTTTTTGGAAATGAAAAGTGAAAACTTATTTGTTGTTACTGTAGCTCTTCTGGAGCAGGCGAACGTACCCTGAATTGAGAATTTTTCAAAAGACCAGATAAAATTCTTTGAAATTCATACAGTTTTGATTATCTGAAATGTGCTTGCATCATGCCTCTATGGGTATGCACATGACCTGATTTCAGGTTTTTCATGTTGAGATTTTGCTTTTTTTTCATTTTCTCTGGGTAGAACTTTTTTTGTTGGTTAAAATTACACTTTTTTTTTAATATCATTATAAAGTAGAGAAAATTCTGATTCCAGTGATATCTAGTTTTATACAAGTATCTTTATTAACACCAAGGGTCACTTATGCATGGTCCTTCAAAATTTGACGTAATAGAAAAAAAACTGTTGATAGCATCCACAGGCATTTCCTTCTGTCGAAAATGGTGGATTAAACCTGGTTTTAATGACAGCATATGTTTTAATTATAAAGCATTACACGTTACTATGAACGTCATAATGTTAACTTAAGTTCAAATTTATAATATGTTAAATTATTATTTCTTTTTATTAAAAGACGCCCGAAAGCACAAAAAAGAAAATAATTAAAAAGAGAAAGAAAAGAAAAATAAAACAAAAAATGAAGAATAAAGGTCAAACCACGATTTTGTCAAGACATTTAATAAAAAATTAAGCAAGACGCAGCATCGTGTATTATCTGCAAATTTGAGCTGACATCTCAGCTTAGCTTACAGACACTTGTCTTTCTAAAAAAAACAACCTACATACCTTAACATAACATGTTATATTAATGGAAACAATCGGTACTTTTTCAGTGACAAGTGCCTCTGCTTATAATACAATATTTCGTGACATAAATAATAACATATTTAACAAAACATGCATGTATAAGATAAGAATGTCATGTAGTATTACCGATATTTAGCTAATATCTCATTTGACAATAAGTATAAAATAGTATTTAGCAAATTGCTATAGTAAAAAGTGTGTTTTTTTTCGTATCTTGGAAAATATGTGGCAGCAGTAGTGTACTGATAAAAAAAAATCATAAATCTATTTTAAATATACAAACTAAGTGAAAACAACTAAGGGAATAGCTTGAACTCCAAAAAGGAGAGAAACAGGGTGCCTCATAGTTCGAATTGGTCTCGGTATTAAGATATTGAATGGAAACGGGTAATGTGTCAAAAAGAAAACAACATGACCAAAGAGCAGAAAGCAGTCCAAGGCCACAAATGGGTCTTCAACGCAGCGAGAAAAATCACGCACCCGGAGGCGCGCTTCAGCTGATTCCTAAACAATAATGTATACTAGTTCAGCTAAATTAACACCACACCAAACACACCGAATCATACAGATGAACCAAAATAAAAACAAAAACAAAAAAACCACACACACCCGCAAGACTAACAAAGGTTAGAGGATCCTGACTTTGGACAGGCACAATAATGCGGCGGGGTAAAACATGTTTTGTGAGATCTTAACCCTTCACCTATACCTCTAGTCAAAACATGTTTTGTGAGATCTTAACCCTTCCCCCATACCTCTAGCTAATGTGGAATAAACAAACACTCAGCAAAACGAACAGTAAAACTCCGTTCAAAAGAAGTTCGAGTCTGATTTCAGAATAGGTTACAGAAGAAAATAAGCAAAATGACAATAATAAACATAAATTAACAAAAGATCAATAGCAGTTACTGACATGTCAGCTCCAGACCTCAATTAAACTGATTGAAAAATCTTGATCATATGAATATCAACCACAATACCTCCCGATAGTATCATGCCATCATAAACTATACGAAAAGAACATAACCCGTATCATGCCAAAAACTGGTTTTAAAATAATTGTGTTTATTTGCTATGCAAAGACCCTATGAGTGAATCACTATTAATTTTAAAAAATGCCATTTTTAATGACTTGACAACAATATCGTAACGATGAAGGTAAATCCAGAAAAGCGCTTCGAACGCATGAAATTTATAACGTGTTGTTTTTAATTTTTATATCCTTTGTATTTAAGTCTGTTTTAAGGTTTGGTAAGTTTTTGAGGTTAATAACGACATTTTTGTGCTTTTCATAGAACATAACTATAAAAGATGTGATGTGAAATACCCGAACGTATACGATGTCTTAACATTAATTTATATAAACGAACGATGGCATTGTAACGATAATAAGTTTTGACAAATAGATATCAAGATCCAGAAATTTCGGTAAAAACTTTGTCAAATAAAATTACAAAAAAAAAAAAAAAATTCAGAAAATCAGAGTTTAGGCTGAAATTTTATCCAGTGTTGTGATAGAATTTTATGTTTGGAAGAATTTCCCGCGGGTAAAATATGTATTGACTGTAACAAAAATATTTTTTTTGCATCGAAAAAAACTACTTTTAAAATAATCATGGACAAAACATGCCACTTTCAGAAATATGCCAAATAAATAACGAGAAAGGCAAATTTATCTGAAGTATGAACACGACAAATGATACAGCTGACATTTGGAAAAATCCCGACATCGTCGAAAAAATCATGGTTTCAAATCGATTAGGGACGTAATTTGCCAACGAATTAAACTGTTAAAAATAGAATGCAGCGCTAGATGTATGTTTCAGATATTACAATATAGGTGCAAAGTTATACATTTGTTTAAGGAATTTGTGAAATTGATGTATAAGAAGACGAAGGTTTTTTTGGTTATACAATACAGTCAACGGGCAGATGAGGAGAAAAAGAGCAATATTAACAATTGATCAGGGACGTAATTTCATCTAAATTTAAACAGTCAGGGTCAATATTTTAAGAAAGATTTATTTTCAAAGACAAAGGAAAGAGGTGCAAAAGTTAGAAAATGGATCGGATTAACGGAAAAATTAAAGTTTATTGAAAGGCCTATGCAATGTCTATGAGACAAATTTACTATGGATGGCGCATTGCTACGTCATCGAAGTCATGTGATGTCTTATTTAGTTGGATATGTTA